TGAGATTGGAAGTCACAGATCTGTAATAGATGTATAATGCTCTGAACCATATTGTTTTGCTCTTTTCTTATTAGAGCTTTATTGGAACTATTCAATTGGGTGCTCTTTTGCATGCTTGATTCTTTTTCGTGTTACACGCATAAGACTGCTATTATTTTTTCTTCAAGTTGGCATCTTGAAACAGATTTGATTGCTTTTCGGTGCTTATGGGGCAGATCATTTGTGTTTTATAACTAGTGCTGCCCCATGAGCATCATTCAGAATGCTTGCTTAGACTGATATATCAAATTTTTAAGTGGTTTTAGGACTTGTCTTACAGTTTATGGCCACTGCCTTCCAAAAGTGATTGCAGTTATTTCATCTTTCATTGTTTTCCTTCTTTCTTATTTGGGTTTTTTTATTTATAAAAAAATTATAATTCTTGTGTCTGACCCAAGGTTTCAGGCTGCTCAGGAGTGCATGTGCCAAGGAAGCGAGTTACCTAGTGCCTCAATGGCAGGGGTTTGAAGTACTTTGTGGCCAGGGACAAGCCGAACCCCGAGCGGGAATTAATCCCACCATTCAAGACCCTTCAGGTGTGGGGACACCTCGTGATATTTACCAAAAAACCAGAAGAAGAAAAGAATATGCTTGGTGTGAACATCACTTTCGTTGTCGTTAAGTGCCAGAACGACGACGACATGCATTCTGTCGTTTGATTTAAGCAGCGGACGACACCATCTCCTTCACAACATCCTTAAACTCTGTCCTGCAAATCCAGACTACGGCTATGGAAACCATATACAGATTCTCACTTCGTCTCGCCCCGATATCTCTCGCCGAAAAATGCCTCCAACCCAGAACAATCACCCCGATATTTCGGAAAACCCGAATACACTTTTCGAACCCCGGACCTCTAAACCCGGAACAGGCCTTTAACACACATTTCCCGACTCGGAAAAGCTACAGCTCAGGCTCTTCTCCAGTTGCCAAAGCGGGTTGGCTTCTGGGTCTAGGAGAGAAGAAGAAAAGCACGAGCTTGCCCGATATAGTGAAAGCGGGTGACCCGGTTTTGCACGAACCGGCCCAAGATGTTGAGCCAGGGGATATTGGGTCGGAGAGGATCCAGAAGATAATTGATGATATGGTGAAGGTGATGAGGAAGGCTCCTGGGGTCGGTCTTGCTGCTCCGCAAATTGGAATTCCCTTGAGGGT